GTGGCCTGCCTGCTTGCTGTCCCAGGCTGCGCTGGGCCTTTCCCAAGAAGCTTCCGGTAGGCCCCGGTAGGCTGAGGTCCAGTCCACACAACTCAGGCCCTGGGCCTGTAGTGGTTGCTTGTGCCCAACTGTCTACGGCCTGTGTTAGGCCCACATCCCGTATCCAGCCCGGGGCCTGCCTTCGATACATTCAAAAAGGCTGGCCAGGGCGTGGGTTCTTCCAACTAACTGGCGCTGCACAACTGACTGAATTTCCTTGAGTTGTGTGGTGACCAAAATAGGGGCCCTCAGGCCCTCGCGTGCCTGCCTTCACTTAGGGCGGCCGACGTGATACTTGGCAGGGCCTGAAAGGGGGCTCATAAGGGCATAAGCCTTGCAATTGCGAGTTTACGCTTTCAATTTCTTTTGTGTCGGGGCTTATTGCTTTCGTGTGGATTTTCTCTTCCGCTTTGTGTTGCAATGCATGAGTAATTTGGGTTGTCTACTTTGGTCCACAACTGTCAAGGTTCAGCTCTGATCACCACTTCAAGGAGACCATGGGCCTGAGAGAGTATACCAGCTTGTCGTCCTCAGCTGGTACCAACCCAACATGCATGAAAAAATGGGAACACACATGGCACGTGCACGGACATCCTAGCAGTCGCTCCATGGACCCTCTCTCTCTCTCTCTCTCTCTCTCTCTCTCTCTCTCTCGCGCGCGCGCGCGCGCGCACAATGCCCACAGAGAACACTCGCAATGCATTGTCAGAGGAAATTGGGACAAGATGGGGACGGGCAATGCCACAGGGCCAAGGCAGGAGGCACCAAAAGAGAGAGAGAGAGAGAGAGAGAGAGAGAGAGAGAGAGAGAGAGAGAGAGAGAGAGAGAGAGAGAGAGAGAGAGAGAGGGCATGGGAAATGGGAAGGAGCATGGAAAGGGGGGAGCGGGGGGGGAGTGTGGGGAGTTGGACGGAGCGTGGGAGGGGGGAGGAGCATGGGAGGGGGAGCGGGGGAGAGGAAGGAGGTTTGGGAGGGTGAAGGAGCATGGGTGGATCTGAAAAGTTGCCATGAGGCGCCTTTCCTCCCACCCTGGGCAGTTCTTGGTGGAGATGTCAAGCAAGTGGGTGCATCACTGGCAGTGGCATATTCTTCCATCGCACCCAACCCTGCCCGCGGTGAGTACTGAGGGAGGTACATACCGTGGTGGGGCCCTCTCGAATCATGGGAACCCATCTGCACCGCAGGGTAACTTTTGCCTCCACCAGTAACAAAAAAAGAGCAAACGACACTACAACTCATATACTGAAAACACAACCTTCCTAGGGCTTGCAATACGAGAAGCATGGGGGGAAGAACAGTAGGAGAAGGGCAGGCGCACAGAGAAGAGAAGGACATGCAGGGGAGAGGAGGAAGAGGAGGAGGAGGAGGAGGAGGAGGAGGAGGAGGTGAAGGACAAGGAGGTTAAGGAGATCGAGATGCAGGGAACGGGAAAATATAGCAAACCAGAGCACTTCGGTCTCAGAACACCACCATGCATACAACTTCTTGAACCCGCTTTCGACAACGTGATGAGAAGAACAATGGCCACATTGATGATAGGGGAAGTTCTTACGAAGGAGAGGGAAGCTTTGGAGTGGAACACACCATCGTTGGACATTAGCAACCAATGCGGTTGAGTATCGTTAGCGAGGTTTTTTTGAATATTAGGCAGGTAAGGCATTCCTCCAAATGGCGAGTAGAAGGCAGTAATGTCAACACCAGGCATGTGGCCGACAGCCAGTATCAAGTCAAACATTGACTCGCCTTCACGAGTAGCCCCCTCATTTGCCACCCGTATGTGACCATTCATGTCAGATGCCAGCTCACCAGTACCCGTACCACCTGAGATAACAGTAGAGCCCGTACCACCTGAGATAACAGTAGAGCCCCCCACCTCCTCTGTCTGTCTTCGCCACCAGTCCTGCAGCCCAAGTGCAGCCCCCCTCCATCCCCCCCGCACCTTATAACCCCCTTCAATCCCATGACCTCCATGCAAGGAGTCCTCTGATTCGACATCTGCCATGTCTGCCTCATCGTCGTTGCTAAATCTCAGCTTGATGGATGATAGCCCCCCTTTCTCTTCAGATTGACCTTTACAATGATTGAAGACTCCCCTTGAAAGATCTGCATCTTCCGACTCGTCATCGTCGTTGCCATCAAGCTCGTCATCAAGCACAGCAAGCTTCACCAGGATATTATCCGTCCCTAACATCTCTGCTGCCTCGCGTGCCAAATCTCCAAAGTCTGCAACAATCATACCCTCATCTTCATCTTCTTCATCTTCTTCATCTTCTTCGTCGGTATCTTCACCCTCTTCATCCTCTAACTCTCCCGTTTCCACTACCCCAATTGCAGCATGCACAGGAGAAGCAGATGACACAGACGAAGAAGAAGAAGAAGAAGAAGAAGAAGAAAAACGAGGAGGAGGAGAAGAGTCCATTTCCTCCTTGAAGCTTGTTGACTTAGAATTATCGACCTTAGTTCGATCAGACACTGTGGAGACGGGTGGGTTGCCAACCACAGAAGACTCTGCCCGATTCGTTGAATCAGGATGATGTGGGGACCTAAGCTGTGTAACCTGATCTGGTCCGTTTGTCCGAGTGGGTGTAGCATCATGGTCTCTTGTTTGTTCTGAAATCAACGGTCGACTGTCACCCATGCACACATCCTCACCATAGCCAGGTACACCGGGCATGGACGGATACTGAGCACCGGCCAGCTGCAAGGGTGGAGTAGAAGAAGAAGAAGGTTCAGATTCTTTGACAGCTGGTCCAACTGCCTGTCCTACAACATCATTTGCTCCCAATTGTTCTTCACTTCTGTAAACTTCACTTCTGGAAACTTCACTTCTGGAAACCACCTCCCCCTCCTGCTCGTCTGTCTCCTCTCCGAGCTGGCTGCGAAGCATAAAGCCAAATTTTCCATTGTTCAGATAGTTATCAGCTGTGCACGCGATGAAAGGTGGAAGCGGCTGAGATTGAACAGAAAACGTAGGACCACAGGCCATTGCACTGCCAAAGCTCGGCTGACCCACAGCAGGTTGGCTTCTGGGTAACCCTGTCACTGAGGTGGCGATGGCAGGTTCTTTGCCGCCGTCACGCTTATCTGTTGGCTGCGACTTTCGAGAAGCGACCAGTGACATCGACAGTTTGTGTGCCAGATCAGCAATCGCCTTGCGAGAAACAGGTGTGACTTTAGAGACGAATGCCACTGCGACAGATGGCGGGTTCCCACCAATCAACGCACAAGCCTTCTCCCATGCTACCTGCACAGCAACAACAATGCAGGCACATTCTTAAACCATTATTATACTCATTAAGTCGTTGTCATCTGAAGAAGAGAGAAACCAGACAAACGAAACAGGACTTTCAGTAAAAAACAAGACCAATGACACTAAACCACAAAACACAAGCGAAAATGAAATTTTGGATATGTACCTGCCTCCTACCTGAATGGTGCACACAACTAACTGTTGATAATCAAACCACAAGTTCAAATCCTGATAAATTAAAAAATCTTAGACGCTAACCCCGTTACACTACGAGTACTCGAGACGTTGCACCCATATCTGCCCTGGTCTGACAGGATGCACGGGCCAGCCTGGGCCCGATTAAATTCAGAGCCATGCAGAGGCCTGCCGAGGACGAAGGAAGGGTCCCAAGTACTGGTGGTTTAAGAAAACAAAAAAAAAACAAGCGGCTGTATATACCTCCAGTCAATAGAAGACATTGTTCATTATCAAATGTGTGTGATGCAAGCCCTTGTGCAAGGCATAAGGCCCTCGGCAAGGTGGAACATGGGGCATGCACCCGCTGGAAAGGGGCTGAGCCCGGTTGTAGCTGTCTGCACCCACCTTAAAAAAAGGCAGGCCCCAAAAATTGGTCGAGGCCGGAGAAAAGAGGCCTGCATGGGTTGGTTGTGCCTGTAGGTTGGTTGCTGCTCATAGCATCGGCAACCAACCAGTAGTCCCAACCGGTTGTACATGTTGGGGCCCAGAGATATGCTGAGGCCCTGGACCCTTACAGTTGAGCCCAGGCACATTCTGGAAGGGCCCAGGGGCGCAGCTACTGGGACAGAGGTCGTGCAGTCCTAAAGCTGCCGCACCCAGCCACTATCTGCACAAAAGGAAGTGCAGCCTGGAACTTCCTCATTCATGCTTGCTGGCTGGTGTGCGGCAGCGCTGCTCTGGCGCCCGGCGAGCAGGGAGTCACTGGCAGGTTGCAAGGGAAATCTGCTGGGCGCAGCAAAGCTAAGCGGCGGCCATGGCCAGGCTGTTGCCTGTAGGGTCCAGAAAGGAGTAGACTGGAGGTCCTTGGGAAGAAGGCGCTGTGGTTGGAGAAGGTGACCGGCAATGGTCGAAGAGAGCAAGTACCTGGGTGATGATGAGCGGGTTGGTCCAGATCGTATTCTGGGCACCGAGCGCCATATAGGAGAGCAAAATTGGACACATTGATGGTTGAGGCGGAATGAGCGGCTTACATAGTCAATTGAGTCCAATGCTTTGCTCTTATTTTGGTGTATATCTTGGTGCATTCTGCTTTCTGCTCGAGCAACATGACTTCCTGGCTTTCAATGGGATGATGCAATTTGGTTTCTGTACTGCGCATTGCTCATTGTCCTTGCACTTGCTCATTTGTAATAACCCTGTTCAGAAGTGAAACGGTATTCACCAGTTCGCAGTAGCTGATGCAGATCCCAGGGCTCGATCCCTAGTTCCCCACCTTACCTGTGTACAGTACCTATCTCAACCCGTAGATTTGAACCTGCGACCTGTAGGACCGCCAGTGGTAGGTAAGGTTTCGTAGGTTACAAGGTAGAAGGGATTCGAACTGTAGACCTGTAGGGTAGGAGTCTAGACAGTCTAGAGGTCTTAGCTGTAGACTGTCCGAAGGGTCAAAGTTGTAGCTGCTACTTACCTGAACGGGCAGAGTCGTAGCTGCTACAGTACCGAAAGGCCAAAGTAGAGGTTTCTAGAAGTGGCCTTTCGGAGTCAGCCCATGTTGAGGCCGAGGCAAGTGGGCAAGTGGTGTAGGTCCACCACGCAGAATCAGCAGTCCCAGTCCAGTCAGTCCGGTCCTGTCCAGCAAGTACCGTCTGGGACTGTGTGCACGCAAGGGCCAGGGGTTACAGGGCAGACCAACGCATCGCAGAAGTATAAATCAAGAGGCTGCGTCCAGCCATTCATTCATTCCTGCGGAAGCCATGAGGAAGCGCTGCTTCAGCGTCTTGTGCGAGGAGGTCTGCAGTGTGCCCAAAGTCGAAGTGGGCAGAGAAGTGTAGTATAGCAATAGGGTAGTGGCAGCTAACGCTGCCATAGCTGTAGTAGTGTGTGCGTGTGTTGTGTGTGGGTACAGAGTGTCGCGTGTGGGATATCCAGGGTGATCCAGAGTGTGAACAGTGGACGTTGGGCGCTCAGTCGCCATAGCCAGTGGAAGTGAACTTACCTGGAAGACATATATCTGTGTACTGTGTGGGCGCATGTCGCCAGTTGTGTGCTGCTGTTCACTTGCATGAAAAGTGTAAATAAGTCGAGTCTGATTGCACTGGTATCGGAGCTGGTACCCGCTGTTCCACGTGCGCCGCCGTGTGCAGGATGAGGCGCCATAGCTGAGGTGGCCGCCGGAAGGAGAAGTCCGCCATAGCGGACCCGAGGAGGAAGAAGGAAGCCGCCATAGCCGCGGAGTGTCATCACAGAGTACCGAAGGAGAGAGAGAGAGAGAGATGAGAGATACAAGATTGGGTTATTACCTGCTGCGCTGAAGATTCCTCTACGGCGAGAGAGAGAGAGAGAGAGAGAGATGAGCGATACAAGATTGGCTGTTACTTACCTGTGAAGCGAGCTGCACAGTCCGACGGAGGAAGAAGGAAGCGGCCATAGCCGCAGAGTGTCATCACAGAGTACCGAAGGAGAGAGAGAGGGAGGAACGGATTTCAGAGTGGGTCGCCAACTTATCCCTGGGCGAAGAAGAAGAAGTGGCGATGTATATCCCCAAGGATGAGCAGGAAGCCGCTATGAGAAAATGGGACGTAGAAGAAGATGTTATAAAGCGGCAGGCGTTGGAAGATGAGAAAAGAATGGAGTGGAAATTGGCAGTGATGAGGGAGAAGAAGAGGAGAGTCGACGCGGCAGCAGATGCGGCGGAAGAATTGGAGGAGGTAAAAAAGATAGAAGAACAATTAGTCGCCCAGGTTGATCTCCCAAAAAAAATGGAGGTCATAGCCCGAAACGTTGCACGCCTTGCACGAATTCAGGCAGAGCAGTATGACTTCAGTAGAAGTCAACATATAGTTGTGTGTTCGATACGATTGGGATTTCGGGACTTTGCTCACGAGTTGGTGGGAGCTGTAGGAGCCGAGTTGGGCCATCGCCTCGACAAGACTGAGCGGTTTTGTGCTGGCGCCATTGAAGGAGTCAAGGCGGCAGCTCCCAAGGAGGGGGAAGCACGCCCTCGCCGGGAGCCTGTCAAAGTCAAATTCCCTGATTCCTACAGTGGAAAGGGGGAAGAAAACTTTGACAACTAGGAGACCAACGTCAAGACCTATGTGCATCTGCAACAGGTCTTCCCGGATCAGCATGTTCTAATTGCGATCCACTCGCTTAGAGATGAGGCCGCCAGCTTCGCAAGGTCCCTAGTTCGTGCTGCCAACTACAATGATGATGCAGTTGCGTACTCGTCGTTCACTCCCCTCACCGATTTCCTGAAGTTACTGCGCGAGCGATTCGCTGATGCTGCTCGTAGTGTTAAAGCCTCAGACAGGCTGCAAACGATCCACTCTCGTCAGTGGAAGAGTGTCAGGGCACTCAAGAGCACCATGGATGAATTGGTGGTTGTACCTTACCACGGGGTCACCGACACCCATGCCCGAAGCCTTTCGAGGGCACTTCTTCGCGAAGAGCGAAGACCCTGCCACCACTTATGATTCCCTTAGCCGTGAGGTGGTAGCCTTCGAGGCAAAGTCCATGTCAGTTTCCACTTTCTGGCACAAGGACTTGGACAAAGGCAAGAAGTGGAAAGGTCGCACTATCTCCGGGCAAGTGAAGACTAAGGATAGTCTTGTCCTAACCTTAGATGAGGGTAGTGTGGATGAGATCCCCAACGATCAGATTGAGTGTGGGTTAGAGGAAGAAGACAGCGGTGTGGGCCAAGGGAGAACTTACGCTGCTGTCGCGGCTGGAGGGAGGTCGCAAGGAGGAGGACGAGGCCAGAGCCAAGGGGGCCGGGCCTCAGGGAGCCGGTTTCAGGGCGATCAGGGGGTTGGCGGCAGAGGAGGAAATCGCCAAGCGGGAGGAAGGGGTCAAGGTCCCCCGCAAAACCATCCTAGGAACAGGTCTCCCTATAGGGTAGGTGGATGGCACCCAAGGCTACCTCAAGGTAGGCCTTGGGAAAGTTTGGGTCTGGACCAGGGCTTATGGCAACAACGATTGGACCGGGGCCAGTGCATCTTTTGCGGTGACCCGGGCCATATCATCAAATATTGTCCTAAGTATAGAGAGACCCGGACGGCTGCTCAAGGACCAAAAGGCAGCCGTCGGTAGGGGTAGCAACTGCCCCTACCATTAGGCCATGTGGGGAATATAGCGCTAGCCGGCAGGAGACTCCCACACCACATGTGCCTACGGCAGAGGTTGCAGGCCGGTGTCTAGATAGCTGTCCGGAGACTGCTTGTGTTAGAGTCTCTCTAGACACCTCCCTCGCAGGCGTGGCTGAAGAATTGAAGGAGAGGATGCCCGCTTGGGCCAAGATGAAGAAGGAGAATAAAGGGCAGCTTATATTACTAGATAGAGAGATTTTTAGAGGTAGAGTAGGGGCCCTAGTAGACTCAGGGGCCACCCGCAGCTATATTAGTAAGAAAGCGCTCCAGAAATTGAAGTTGGGGCTTAAAGTCCAGAAACTAAGGGACCCCATAGTTAGTATCCTCGCGGACAATTGTACTATGGTTGTAGAGGATTACGTAGAGGGAGTCCAGGCGTATTTCCACCTAGAGAAGGATGGGAAAGTGGAGAAGGTTCTCCATTCCCTGACTCTCCTCGTCGAGGACAGCCTCCCGTTTGACATAGTCCTAGGTATGGACTGGGGAGAGGCAGCAGGGGCCACACTCTGTTTGAGGGAACACGAGTGTAGGCTCCCTAGCCCTTCGGGCGAAACTAAGACTGCCCGCCTGTTTCATGTGTCAGGAGTAGAGAATCCCCTGGCACATTGCTGCCTTAGTGCTCCTGCGTTTGCAAGATTAGTAAAGGAGCAATTGGAGGGACATCCTGCACCACATTGCGGCCAAACTGCTGGAAGAGTTCAAGGATCTAACTGAGCCGCCAATAGGAGTGGTACCACGGCCCATCCAGCACCACATTGAGATAGAGCCTAGCAGTAGAACTCCTAAGGGCGTTGTGTATAGGATGTCCCCACGGGAGTTAGAGGAGCTTCGCAAGCAGTTAGACGAGCTCCTTGAAAAGGGTTGGATTAGGCCCAGTTCTTCTCCGTTTGGAGCACCTGTTCTGTTTGTCCCCAAGAAGGAGGGAGAGTTAAGGATGTGTATAGACTACAGGGGTCTGAATGCTATTACAGTGAAGAATGCTGAGCCACTGCCTAGAATAGACGACCTTTTGGATCGAGTGCAGGGGGCAAAGTACTTCTCCAAGATAGATTTGAAGTCCGGATATCATCAGATCGAGGTGCATCCTGATGATCAGTATAAGACGGCCTTCCGGACTAGATATGGGCACTATGAGTTCATACTGATGCCCTTTGGACTAACCAATGCACTAGCGACGTTCCAGCGTTGTATGAACGATTTGTTTAGGCCATGGTTAGATAGATTTGTTGTTGTCTACTTAGATGATATACTAGTGTTTAGTAAGACCCTCGACGAGCATCAGGGTCATCTCAGGCAGGTCTTGGAGAAGCTAAGAGAAGCTAACTTCAAGATCAATGCAAAGAAGTGCGACTGGGCGAAGACCCAAGTCTTATATCCAGGCCACGTCTTAGACGGAGACAGCGTTAAACCAGAAGATTGTAAAACCGCAGCGATTAGAGATCGGCCCACGCCACGTACGCTAACAGAGTTGCGGTCATTCTTGGGCCTAGCTAACTACTACAGGAAGTTCGTGAGGAACTTCTCCACTATCGTTGCGCCCCTTCGCAGACTGCTCAGGAAGGAAACCATTTGGAAGTGGGATAAGGACTGCACGTCTGCCATGAAGAAATTGAAGCAGGCATTGATAGAGTACCCAGTCCTTAAGGTAGCCGATCCGTCCTTGCCCTTTGTCGTCACGACAGATGCTAGTCAGTACGACATAGGCGCGGTATTGCAGCAAGACGATGGCAATGGTTATAGACCCGTAGAGTTCATGTCCGCCAGGATGCCTTCAGAGAAGGTTGCGACATCTACCTATGAGAGGGAACTCTACGCTCTCAGGCAAGCTTTAGAACACTGGAAGCATTACTTGCTTGGGAGGCACTTCAAAGTCTACTCGGACCATGAGACGTTGAGATGGTTTAAGACACAGGCCAAGATGACACCTAAGCTTACTAGGTGGGCCGCAGAGATAGATCAGTATGACTTTGAGCTCAAGCCAGTCAAACGTAGTCGCGGATGCTCTGAGTAGGAGAATCGATTACTTTGAGGCAATAGTGCATTATTTAGACATAGGGAAGGACCTGCAGCAGAAGATTAGAGAAGCCTACGCGCAGGACCCTATCTACAGTGACCTCCTAAAGAAAGTCAAGGAGGCCCCAAAGATTGAACCAAATTACCGCACTACTGACGGATTGCTTTTTGACAAGACTAATGTCTTTGACCGGCTATGCATCCCCAATAGTGAAGAGATCCGTAGTCTGATCTTGGGAGAATGCCATGACACAGAGGGTCATTTTGGTTGGCAAAAGACTTTAGCCAATCTGATGCGCGCATACACCTGGCCACGGATGAAGAATGACTGCGTAGAGTATGTCCGCAATTGTGAAGTTTGCCAGCGTAATAAGACCAGTGCGCGCGCTCCGCTAGGTCTTCTCTGACCCTTGCCCATTCCAGATCAGCCGGGAGACTCAGTGTCCATAGAATTCACGCACACTCAAGTCAAGAGCAGGCATGGCAAGAGCCAAGTCATGGTCATAGTTGATCGTTTTAGTAAGTACGCAGTTTTTGTTGCTTTGCCTTCAGAGGCACATACTGATTTAGTGATACATAAGTTTTTTGACTGTTGGGTTGATGAGAATGGAATCCCACTGTCAATAGTTAGTGATAGAGATAGCCGCTTTACCAGCCAGAACTGGCAAGAACTCATGGGAGTATACGGATCTAAGTTGTTGATGTCGTCTGGCCGCCATCCAGAGACTAACGGTCAGACAGAGCAAATGAACAAGATCCTACAGCAAGTTCTGCGCATGTACATTAGACCAGATCAGATTAACTAGGATGAGATGTTGCTATAGGTAGCTAGTACGTACAATAACAGTGTGCATCTGTCCACGTGCCGCACTCCCAACGAACTGCACAAGTCCTTTAGACCGCGTAGACCTTTTGAGGGACTCAACCGGGATCAGATTCACAGTTTACCGCCCGGAACCAGGGAGTTTGCTGTACAGCACGAGAAAGAACTAGCTGCTGTGGTGGAGAACCTCAGGAAGCCCCAGCACTGAATGATAGAGCAAGCCAACAAGCATCGTCGCCCCTCACAGTTTCAAGTAGGCGACTTAGTCTGGGTCAGTTCTAAAGAGTTTGCACCTGAAGAGAACATCTCGCAGAAGTTACTGCCCACATATAAAGGACCGTGGCCCGTTCTAGAAGTCAAGGGCGGCGAGGATGGACCGTCCTATACCATAGAACTCCCAGCACACCTCCACACTTACCCAGTTTTTCACGCATCAAAGTTGTTACCTTGTCAAACAAGTGATCAGTTTCCATCCCGTAGGTCTATGATTCCACCAGATATGGATGGGAGGTATGACATCGATGGCATAGTGGCTGAAGATATATTCAGGACTGGAGGTAGAGGTCGTCCACAGAAGCAGTACAAGGTTCATTTTGCTTATCAAGAGTCGGAAGACGACCGTTGGTATACAAGAACTGAACTTCTAGAGACAGCTCCCGATATAGTTCGGGCCTATGAGAGGCAACAGAAAGGTAAAGGTCCTGCCTTGGACTGAAATTTTCTCGGAAGACCTCGAATTTAGGCCGGCGGGAGTGAAACAGTATTCACCAATTCGCAGTAGCTGATGCAGATCCCAGGGCTCGATCCCTAGTTCCCCACCTTACCTGTGTACAGTACCTATGTCAACCCGTAGATTTGAACCTGCGACCTGTAGGACCGCCAGTAGAGGGGATTCGAACTGTAGACCTGTAGGGTAGGAGTCTAGGCAGTCTAGAGGTCTTAGCTGTAGACTGTCCAAAGGGTCAAAGTTGTAGCTGCTACCTGAACGGGCAGAGTCGTAGCTGCTACAGTACCGAAAGGCCAAAGTAGAGGTTTCTAGAAGTGGCCTTTCGGAGTCGGGCCCATGTTGAGGCCGAGGCAAGTGAGCAAGTGGTGTAGGTCCACCACGCAGAGTCAGCAGTCCCAGTCCAGTCAGTCCGGTCCTGTCCAGCAAGTACCGTCTGGGACTGTGTGCACGCAAGGGCCAGGGGTTACAGGGCAGACCAACGCATCGCAGAAGTATAAATCAAGAGGCTGCGTCCAGCCATTCATTCATTCCTGCGGAAGCCATGTGGAAGCGCTGCTTCAGTGTCTTGTGCGAGGAGGTCTGCAGTGTGCCCGAAGTCGAAGTGGGCAGAGAAGTGTAGTATAGCGATAGGGTAGTGGCAGCTAGCGCTGCCATAGCTGTAGTATTGTGTGCGTGTGTTGTGTGTGGGTACAGAGTGTCGCGTGTGGGATATCCAGGGTGATCCAGAGTGTGAATAGTGGACGTTGGGCGCTCAGTCGCCATAGCCAGTGGAAGTGAACTTACCTTGAAGACATATCTTTGTGTAATGTGTGGGCGCCTGTCGCCAGTTGTGTGCTGCTGTTCGCTTGCATGAAAAGTGTGAATAAGTCGGGTCTGACTGCAGAAGTAGCCTGGGGCTCAGAACTCAGCCCCAGAAAATGCAGATCTGAGTTGGTCTGCGCTGGGCTGTGTGACCAAGGCATGCCCAGGCCTCAGTCTGTCGTGTGTGGCTGTGTGACCGAACACTGCACACAGGAAATTCAAGAGTCAAAGTCAACTGTAGAGTGAACGGTACCGCACCCAGGCCCTTGGTTGGATACACTCACTTGTTGTGCGCAGGTACCCAGACAGCATCCAGGGCAGAGGGAATTTGGTTTCAGGCCAATCTGGGCCCTCATTGCATTGAGATCTGGACGGCTGAGGGATACAGCATCCGGGGTCCAGACCCCGCAACAACACTACATAAGAGCTGACTCCTTGGCTTTGACATTCATTCTGTCTTGCGTTGATGCTGACTTCACGCGTTGACTTCAATGCTGGCTCAACGCTGCGACGCTGGCTCGACGCTGCGATGCTGGCATTGTAACTTGGCGATGCGCTGCTAGTCCGGCATGGTGGCCGGCTTGCTCCCGTCTTCTTGGCATGCTGACGTGGCAGCTGCCGTGCGCTATCGCTGACGTGGCTGCTGCCATGTATATCATTGGCTGGCGTGGCTGCTGCCACGTGTTCTGTGGCTGGGACTACATAATCGGCATTGCTGTTCTGTTTCATCGTTGCTTCAGGAGGAGATCAGGACTGTGGAGAGTTCGAGGATACGTACCTGGTGGTCTTCATGTCCACATTGCTCCAGATGCTGATGTGGAACTGATTAGACGTGCCACGTGGCACATTGAGGATACTTCGGATACTGATCCAGACTATTGATTATTGAGGTGTTAGTAGAGGAGGGAGCCCGAAGCAGGAGTGGGCATTGTACTTCCTCTCCTTTGTCTCTTCTCCCTCCTCTCTCTTCGTCTGTGTATGTGTACCTCACCTCATTCTGTCTGGTGATGATTTTTTACTACTAGTAATCATCAGCCGATGGATCTGGGCTTGCATTGTTGACGACTGTCTTCACGATCTGGGTTCATTGCAATTTGGTATCGGAGCTGTTCTCCTAACGACAACATTTGTACGCGCCAGGTGGCGTGCAGGTAAGTGTGGCACACACAAAGGTTGAGTAGGTGATGACGTGGCGAGAGACATGCCAGGGGTGTTGCGTGGCACATACCTCATTGGCGAGAAGACATTGCCGGAGCTTGCTGACAAAGTACAGATTCACTGGCGAGAAGACCTGACCAGAGCAGCCGACGGGGTACAGACTCCGCTGGCGAGAAGACATCCCTACCAGGCTTAGGGATCGCGACAAGGAATACCACACGCCAGCCAGGATCGCGATAGTGACGAGGCATCACGATCCCATGCAGATGCTGACGTGGCTTTGGGGAACAAGACTGACTGCTGACGTGGCTGGAAAGAGTCATCACACCTGTCCTATGAGGTGGTGACTACCTGCTGACGTGGCAACAGACCCTTCGGCTGACGTGGCATGATCTGACTGGCTGGACGGCGACGACATCTCAACGTAACACGTGGAAGAGGCACGTGGCGAGGATCAGACTACACATTCGCTGACGTGGCATCCCATTATTGACAGACTGGACATTGTGGTACACAGTGCTGACGTGGCAACATTTGCTATGTTGGCACTCCAGGGATGACACGTGGCAGGCAGGATACTGCCAAGTAAGAGCAGCATTACGAAGACAACGGCGGTACGGCTGAATTGAATGATTAGACAGCTGTAGCGCCAGCTGTCACGAGGGGTGCAGCATCGCTTGGACACACCTGGATTGACTCAGCAGAAGGAAGAAGAGTGCTGACAAATTGTTTGTGTTGATTGTTGGCATACTTACCTTGTCGTTTGCTGTGTTGTGGTTCTTGTGTACTTACTTGTGTGTTGTGTCTGATCACACGGGCCTGAAGTGGTACCTGTACACTCTCGAGTAGGACGTCATCACACAGACAAAGAACAGCTGTTACGATCCTGGTCATTTCCAAAGTGCAAATTCACAATGAAAGACAATGCCACCCAATTGCGAAAGAAATGAAAGCACTTGCAAAGAGATAGAGACCAGAGGAGAGAGAAAGAAGAAGAAGAAGAAGAAGAAGAAGATGTACACCAGCAAGACCAATGACGATTCCCCCTTCTCTCTCCACCTTCCTCCTCCTCCTTCACTTCGCCAATCTTATTCTTCTCCAGAGTTGCACAGGCCGAACGTCGGCGGGCCTCGGTCGGTCGGCCGCCGACCCGCCGACCGTTTTGCCCGTCGGGGCCAACCGATCGGCGGTGTCGGCCTGCCACAATTTTTCCGCGGCGGCCACCCCCACCCCAAAGGCCCGGTTTTTGGATTTTGGGCCGGTACCAGGGGGGTCGGCCGATYGGGGCACGRCCTGGGAGGCCGCCGACGGTCGACACTGCCTTTTCCCTGGTCGGCGGCAGTACAAAGAGTGTGCTTGCCCACACTCTTCCCATTCTACCGCCGTGGCATTTGTGGGCAGCCGCGAGTGTGGGCAGCTGCAATGCTCAGGYAGGGTGAGAAGARTGTGGGCAACTTGGTCGTAGCARGGAGAGTTGGCCATGGTGGGGGAGACAAGGCTGCAGCTCCGAGGTTGTTCTCTGCGACGTTCAAGAAAGGCTGCCGCTTTCTTCCTCCACTGGTCAGTGTATCCGTGGCAGACATTGGCAGCCGCTGGTTGAGAGAGAGGAGCTTCTTCTTCTTCTTCTTCTTCTTCTTCTTCTTCAACTTCGCCCTAATTTTCTTCTTCTCTTCTTCTTCTTCTTCTTCTTCTTCTTCTTCTTCTTCTAGTCTTCCCATTTCGAAAAATCGCACATTGTCAAGTTTGCCCTCATTTCCTTCTTCTTCTTCTTCTTCTTCTTCTTCTTCTTCTACTCTTCTCATTTCGGAAAACCGCACATTGTCAAGTTTGCCCTAAATTTCTTCTTCTTTTTCTTCTTCCTCTATCTCTTCCTGTTCTTTTTTTTCGGAAATTCGTCAGCCATTGTAAAGTTCGCCCTAGTTTTCTTCTTCTTCTTCTTCGTCTTCTTCTTCTTCTTCTTCTTTTTCTCATTGCCTTCTTCTTCTTCTTCTTCTTATTATTATTATTATTATTATTATTATTATTATTATTATTATTCTCATTGCCTTCTTCTTCTTCTTCTTCTTCACCCAACTTCGTTTTTTTTTCTTCCTTGTATCATCAGGCAGTGGGCACACACCTCCCACCCCTTCTTCCTCTTCTTCTTCTTCTTCTTCTTCTTCTTCTTCTTCTTCTTCTTCTTCATCTCCATCTCCATCTTCTCTCCATCTCCTTCTTCTTCTTCTTCCTCCTCCTACCCTCACCCACCTCTGATTTTTTATATTTTTTTTTTCGGAAATTCGTCGGTCGGTGGGCACACAACTACCACCCCTTCTTCTTCTTCTTCTTCTTCTTCTTCTTCTTCTTCATATCCATCTTCTCTCCACCTTCGTCTTCTTCTTCTTCATCTTCTTCCTCTTCTTCTTCTTCCTCCTACCATCACCCACCTCCGTTTTTTTTGTTTTTTTTTTTCGGAAATTCGTCGGGCAGCGGGCACACACCTCCCACCCCTTCTTCTTCTTCTTCTTCTTCTTCTTCTTCTTCTTCTTCTTCCTCCTCTTCTTCTTCTTCATATCCATCTTCTCTCCACCTTCTTCTTCTTCCTCCTCCTCCTCTTCTTCTTCTTCTTCTTCTTTTTCTTCATCTCCATCTTCTCTCCTTCTTCTTCCTCTTCTTCTTCTTCCTCCTACCATCAGCCACCTCCGTTTTTTTTTTTTTTTTTGGAAATTCGTCGGGCAGCGGGCACACACCTCCCACCCCTTCTTCTTCTTCTTCCTCCTCTTCCTCTTCTTCATATCCATCTTCTCTCCACCTTCTTCTTCTTCCTCCTCCTCCTCTTCTTCTTCTTCTTCTTCTTCTTCTTCTTCTTCTTCTTCTTCTTCATCTCCATCTTCTCTCCTTCTTCTTCCTCTTCTTCTTCTTCCTCTTCTTCGTCTTCCTCCTACCATCACCCACCTCCGTTTTTTTTTTTCTTTTTCGGACCTCCACTGCGACCACCATGGCGGGCAATCGAGTACCATTCGAGCCTGAGACAGGTGGTGAGAGAGAACGGACGCTCAGCCAGTCGAAGCTTTGGAAATGGGCGGAGAGAGGCCAGAAGGTGACGACCGGCACGTCGCACAGCTCGTGGAGGTTGCGTTCCAGTCTGTGCAACAAAGAGTTTGTCGGCACGCTCAACAAAGTCGTGAATCACCACACCCAAACGTCGGCCAATGCCCGCTGTCCCCGTACCACCGGTGAGATTCTTTCTGTGATTCGGAGCAAGCACCCGAAGGTGAAATTGCTCCCTACGCTGGTGGCGAAATTGAACGAGTACTACGACTTACAGGGTCGTCTGGCAAATGTTGAGGATCCGCAGGATCTTGCATCGGGTGATGGAGCTGGTGCATCGGGGGAGCCCGGCACGTCGTCGGCAGTGGGAGACGGTGGCCGTGACACAGGTTCAACAGGGGGGCAAAGCTGTGGTGTCGGTTATGATTCGACATTTGTTCAACGGCAGGAGAGGGCAGATTCTGTTGCCTATGCAACCGCTTCGGATTCCAGGGGGCCTGACCTCCCGTCGGAGATTGCTGACCACCTGCGGGGTCCCGTTCTCGCTGCCGCTCGCCCTCCGCGACCTCCATCGGGTGCGCAACAGCCGTCCATGACCAGTTACGTAGTGGATGAGCTGCAGAAGGACTTCGACCAGGGGGTTGCTTCGTTCTTCTTTGAGAATGCCATCGACTTCAATGTCGCGCGGTCAGACTCGTACAAGAACTTGGAAAGGATCATGAACCTGGCAGCGAGGTCGAGGAAGATTTTGCGAATGTCGGGGTACAACTACTTGAGGACGAAGGCCCTGCCCACGGAGTACAAAGTGGTGGACAATAATTTCGACAAGATCCGAGAGTCGTGGGATGTCACAGGCCTCTCCTTGATGACGGATGGCACAACAACGACCAGCAACAGGCCAGTCATGAACTTCGTTGCAGCTGGCGATTCGAGGGCGGTCATGGTGAAGAGTGTGGACATGGAGGGGAAGGACAAGTCGGCTCCGGCTTTGGCGAGGATGTGGGAAGAGGTCATAAGGGAGTTGGGGGTGCATGGGGTCAACGCCATCTGCACCGACTCAGCACAGGTCAACATTGCTGCCAGGAAGATTTTGGCTGAGCACGAGGACCCTGCGATCAGTAGCATTCCATGGGTGTCGTGGACATGCCATGTGTGCAACTTGCTCATGTCTGACATTGCTTCGGTGTCATGGGTCGGGGAGGTGATTCTGCAGGGCAGGGAGATCACAACCTTCATCAAGAGACATCAGCGGGCGTTGGCGATGTTCCGGAAAAGTGGGAGGGAGTACATGACACGGATGAACATCAAAGAAGGGAGGCCGTTGGGAGTTGATCCAGCCGGGGGAGACTAGATTTCGCACAGACTTCCTCATGCTGCAGCGACTTCGGGAGTGTGAGGGCGTGTTGTTGCACACTGTTTCCAACCCGCGGTGGGATGACTCTCCATGGGACAGGACAGCAGCAACACGGGCGCGGTCGTGCAAGGAGCTAATACGAGACCCTGCTTGGTGGTTGACCGTGGAGAGGGCATGCACCTTGCTTGAGCCCATTTTCGCCTTGATGAAGAACATGGACAGAGATGGGAGGATGGGTATGCAGGTGTGGTCGTTGGGCATCACGCTGGAGAAGAGAATGGCCGTGCTACCCATGGGTTGCGAGACAAGGGAGTTTGTGATGGCGAAGGTCAAAGACCATGTGCGGATGATGGCTCTGCCTGTGCATGCAGCGGCTTGGATGTTGCACCCGCTCCACCGATCACCTCGACTCTTCGACGACATGGCGTGCGAGGAGATTGCGAACACTTTGACACACTTTGCTTCGTTTCCCCCGAAGAATTCAAAGGAGTACAAAGAGTGTTGGAACTCCCTTAAGAGTTTCCATCACATGGATCCGGAGTGGTTCGGGAAGAAATTTGAGGAGGCTTTGACGGGCGGTCACGTGTCTATGGCGCAATGGTGGTTGACTTATGGGAAGAGGCACCCAACCTTGATGAAGATCGTTGTCAAAGTGCTCAGCATGTGGACCACAGCCTCTCCTTGTGAGAGGAATTGGTCCACGTTCGATCTCATTCACTCTAAGAGGAGGAATCTGTTGAGCCTGGAGAACCTGAAGATGCTCGTCTTCATCCACTGGAACAAGAAGTTGCTGCGCATGTCAAAGGTGAAGATAGGATTCGTGAACACGGAGCAGCTAGAGTGGGAGACACCCGAGGACGACGCTCCTTTCGACGGTTTCATGCGAGACGGGGAGTACGACCCCGCAAAGGTGAAGAGGAGGGCTGCCAACTGGTTGAAATCTCGAGGGCGCAGATCGAAGAGCACCAGATTCGACGTGCGGGAGATTCAGGAGGAGAGGGCGGATTACGGGGCATGGCTCTTTGATATTTCCTACCGCCCTCGCCATCTCGCGGATGACGACAGCTGGAAGACCTCCGCTGCTGTTGATGAGGAGGAGGACGACAGAGACGACAACGATGGTGATGATGAGTTACTCGAAGTGCAGCTCACAGACAAGCGGTTTGTCAGGTGGTCGGGTGGCGGGTCATGTTCCGCGACACATGTCAACATCACGCCGTTGGCTGGCCCTGCATCCGGTGGCCCTTCGGCGGTTGCTACGGTGTCATTGATGGGCAACACTGGTGCCCGTACACGACTGCGCAGCTGCGCGGCCGGTGATGTGGCTTCAGTTCATGGCACCAGCACAGTCTTGGGCGTGCAACACACTCCTCACCGGCGACCTGCGGTCGAGGAACCACCCACAGGGCGAGGGGCGACAGACGGGGGATCGACGAATGTTGACAGGTACAATGTTGTTGCGGGGGATGTTCGAAACTTTGGTGTGTCCACGGACGTTCCGGTTTCCGGCGCTGCTGAACGTGAGGATGGAGACATCGGTGCGGACAAGGACCACCCGGTCCCTGGAGCAGCGGAGGGCACCCAGTGTACCGGCGACGATGTGTTCTCCACTCCGGACCCGGGGTTGCCGCCGGCTGACGGATTCGCCTCCCTATTGCAGCTCGTGGCCCCCATTGCTGCAAGAAGCTCCAAGAAAGACTTCGGGGAACACCTGGTTGCGATGTCCCCCATGAGGAGTGATTCCAAGTGACAAACTCCGAATTGGGCCATAGTCACTGGGCAGACTTCGGATTGGGCCAGATTCACTGGACCGACCCCTCCCGATCTGCTGTTGAGCAAGGATATTCCCACAGAGGCCGGGGACGGATCGCAGGGTATAGTGTACAGGAGGAGGGCCCGAGCTGCTGGACTTGACCACCCACAAGATGCAGCTGCAGAACGTGAGCCATCGTCACCGCCCGAAATCAACGCGAGTTTGGTGCGCCGGGTGAAGAGTTTGGCGGGCAGAAAGAAAGGAGGGAAGCACAAGCCGAAGGAGACAGCGGAACCGTCGAGCCGAGGCAGACGAGGCAAGGGACGCAAGCGACCTTGCAAGAGAAGCGTGCTGTTGTTCGGCAGGCAAAGAAGAGGAAGGCACAGAAAGTTCAGAAGAAAGCCAGTGCGAAGAGGAGGAAGTATGTGCAAGAGGACGATGAGTCCACAAGCAGCAGCGCTACGTCTTCCGCAGAGGAAATGAAAGCGCGGTCGAGTGACGCGTGGTCGTCGAGTGACACATCATCATCGTCCGACACGTCGTCTGGCACGAGTAGCAGCATCGAATGAGAGAGAGAGAGAGAGAGAGAGAGAGAGAGAGAGAGCGAGTGAGAGAGGGAGAGAAACGTTCTTCGTCCCCTTCTTCTTCTTCTTCTACTGCTCCATCCGCTTCCGCTTCTTCATCATCTGCTTCTTCCTCCTCGAGTCGTCGTCTTTTCGTCCATGTCCGGGGTGGACTGTGTTTTCGATGATGTCATGGATGTCGGGACAGTGACACTGTGATGGAGTGTAACAACTGTTGCTTCTTTGCAATCGCGGCGTTCAATGCGTGGACTCGTTGTGTATTCTTCTGAATACACGTTCTTTTTTTTTTCTTTTTTTTTTTTTTTTGCTGCTCAGCTGTTGTGTGCTGCTGTCTACTGAATCGTCCATAAGGACCTTGTTTCGATGTTGCAAAATGCTT